TTCCTGTATACCTGGGGTTACAGGTATGCACCTCCAAACCTGGCTTCAGACAACTTTTATAGGAAGTTGTAGATGTAGGTAGCTAGAGCAATAAAGACTCACATTGGCCAATGCTGATGGGTCCCTCAAGTCTCACTGATTTTTTCCTTCCATACAGCCCACAGCAGTTATTCCAGATTTATTCCTCACTCATGGTCTCATTTCTGAATAATTTCTATAATCAATAGATGATCAATCTATTACTGTATGGAGAAGCCTGAGTAATATATGTCTATATATCTTTCAGATTTTCTTCTCTTATCTCAGAGGAAGAACACTTTTCTCTTTATAAGGCAAATTCCTTCTGGATTTGGATCACTTTCCATTCTTATTTTCTAGGGTTTCACTTCCATAGTTCTTTTTAAGTACTCTTTTATTCTCTAGCATTTCACCCTCACATTCCTCACGACATCCTAACCTTTCATTGAACAACAAAAACAACTTCACTTTAACTTGTTATCAGTTCTATTTTTCACTTATAATACCTGTGTTTGTTTCCGCTTCTTACCCAACTTCCTGACTTGAGGTCTTTGTCTACTTTCTTATTAATGGTGTATTTTGTCCCTGTCTCCATCATTCTACTAACAGATTTCCTGGTCAACACTCTTTCTCTCAACTCCTTTCTTCTTTGTAACATTTGATAATGTTGGTTACTTCCTATTTCTAGAAAATTTCTTGATTTTTACAATCCACTTTTTTTTCTAGCCTCGCAGAATTCTCTTTTTCTAACTTCTATGCTAACTTTTCCCCTTTCATTCTTTTACACTGTTGGTAGCTCACCAAAGTTCTACATTCATCTCTTTTCTTTCTTTCACTTGGCTGTCATAGTCATTTGTTCTCCTTCTCAGGGTTCCAGTGAATGAATACCTCTCTGGCACCATCTTCTATTCCTTCTACTTTCTTCAACTCTGACTTGAATACAAATCCTTCCTGCCTGCTTCCTAACTATCTGTGAACTGAAGCCAAACTCCTTGTATTGTACCAATCAGTGCTATCAGTCCATTCAAGCCAGTTCTATTGCCTTTCCCAAAACTGATATGTTTAATGCTAAGGATTTGACCTTATTTGGGAACGGTATTTACAGTGGCTATCAAGTTATAATGCAGTCATTAGGGTGTGTCCTAACTCAATAAAATTGGTGTCCTCATAGAAAGGAGAAACTTGGCATAGAGAGGGACATGCACACTGGCAGAATGCTGTATAAACTCGAAGGTGGAGTTGGGGTAATGCACCTGTATGTCAAGAATTTCCAGATTTCTGGGAAATGACAGAAGTTAGAGGAAAGGCATGGTACAGATTGTTCCTCATAAGGAACCAACCTTCCTGACATGTGGATCTTGGACTTCAAGTCTCCAGAACTGTGAAATAGTAAGTACATGTGGTTTAAGCCTCCCCATTTGTGGTGCTTTGTCATGGCAGCTTTATTGAACCAATATAACCACCAACCCCCCAATTTCCCAGGCTAGAAAACTTAGACTCATTGTGGGTTCCTTCCTTGTCTTCATTATCTACATCAATTCTCACAGTAAGGGTTTTAGTCTCTTGCTCTAAAAACAACCCCTAACATCTTCAACTTCATACTCTCCATTGCTTTTTTTCTGGTCTACTATTTTTTTCTCACTTCCTGTTGCTGTCACTCTACCTATATCATTTCACGTCTCAATTCCTATAAAAGCCTCTGGTTTGTCTCTCTGAAACCAAAATTATCTCCCAAATACATAATACATAATTCATGTTGCTTTCATCATATTAGGACCATGCTCAAGATGTGTTTACAGTGTTATATTGCCAACTGTGCTGAATTTAAGCTTAGCATTCATTGTCCCCCAGACTTTGGGCCCATCTTGCCAACTTAATCTTTCATCTCCCCTATATATATCATAGTTATTTCCATTTTTCAGCCTTGCATATCCACAGTCCCCCATCAAGATGCTTTTTTACCTTTACTCCTCTCATCCAAACCTGTTCATCTTTCACTGCAACCACTCTGGCCCACACTGATATCTTTTGCCTTTGTCGCACTTTAATCAGTACCTTCCAGGTTAGCACCAAGTGGCATTTCTTATATTTTACGTGGATCTATACAAATTTACATTTATAACTCTATTAGTTTATAGGACATAGTGCTTTCTAACAAACTGGTCAAATTCTTTTTAAAATGAGAATAGTGGTAAAAAGATGGGGAGAGGAAGGAGACCAGGTGCTAAGGGAAGAGAAAGCCTTGCCTGGAACAATGAAGGAGAATTAGTTTGATTTCCATATATGTTCCCTGGATCACCAGCATCTAAATCATTTAGGATCTCTGACAAAATGTAGATTCTTAAACATCACTGAAGACCTACTATATCAGATTCTGCAGCCCAGACATCTAAAATTTTAAAGGTAACTCAAATGCTTCTGAAGTACACCAATTCTGGGAACCACTAGTCTAAGTGAAGAAGGCAGAAAGTAGATGCTGAAAGGGAACTGCTGTTCTTATGCTTGCTGGGTACATGCACTTTCCATCACAGTTAACAAGAGAATGAAATAATTTCACTATATCATGATTTGCTTTGATGTGATTCTCTTCAGTGCAGTGCTTTGAGGACAGCAATCCTTTCTTTGAAGGCAAGAGAATATCTCAAGTACTGCATCACAAATATGATCTAATACAGAATTTTTTGAAGAATAGAAATTTTGTGGGTAATGCAAGGAAAGGTAAATGATTTTACTTTCTTTTGGAAGTAAAATATAGCCAGAAACACATTATAGGTTCCCAAAATTCAAGTTTGGTAGCATAGAGAGAAAACAGTTCTGAGATCTAGTTGCTTAAGCTTTTAATTGGAACAGAGTGATGGCTAAAACATGTAGCTAATTTAGACAAAAACAGAACCCTCTCGCTGGCTCACATTGAGCAGGATTTTTGCAGTTGAGTACCACAGAAGAGAGATAACAGAATTAGATACGATCGAGGGAAAGAAAAATGCACAAAAGTCCTTGAATTAAAATGAATTGAAACCTTCTGGGAGAAAAGCTATTTGGTAAGGTCCATTAAGTCTATTGTAGATAGCTTTATTTGACAAAGCAGCATCCTGGCATGTGGAACAGGAAAGAAAATAGCTATAAGATGATCTGTCAGGGAGTTTCCAGTCTCTAAACGAATAAGATTCTGTGCAGTAGCCAATACAGCTTTTAACTCAGAAGAGCTACAGAAGCAAAATGCAATTATATAATGTTAGTAAGTGTATTCAATCTGAATCTCCCACATACCCATTTCCTCCCCCAATAACTCCTCAAACTCTGCAATTTATCAAGTGGATGCTCAAACATGTTAGCCTTTATTTCATGGTAACACTGGATAAACATGGCATCTGATGTATATACCAAGGGGGAGATAATTCTATAAGTCAATGTTTAATCAGCTATAAAACATCTTGGCTAAGCACTTAAATCTCCAATAGCTCAATTACTATTAAAGTCTTTTGTTTATTTTGGCTATAAGTTCATAGTATTTATTTGCTGTAATTAGTTCAATATTCTGAAAAAGCTCACTGACTACTGATTACAAAGAATTTATTCACTATAGATAGCCGTTTGTACGTCTAGGATCTAATATATGGCAAAAATAGAATTCAGATGTAACAGTTAATGAATACCTTTAGAAAAGTCTAACTTGGCAGTTTTCTTTCCTTGAGAGGTTTTCTTTATGGAGTAGTGATTTTAACTAAGACAACTTAAGTGGGTATGTAGCTTCTGACTTCAATATATAAGTACTGGAACCAAAGAAATTCAGACTGAATTATAGTCAATCTCTCCTCTTCCTTCCCCTACATCATAGGGACAATACACTGCAACTCTAATGCCTCGCACAGTTCTTGGCATGTAATAGTTCTTAAATGAATGGGAGAACTCAACCATCACATAATCCCTGTTAGATGGTTTTTATAAGGTATACATTACAATGGCGAAGTTGCAGCTCAGTGGGGAAGAAGTCCCTGTCAGGTCAAGAAGAGCAGAGCCGGGACTGAAACTCAAGTGTTCTCACTTTAGATCCAGGGTTTTTTTCACTGTGCCTTTCTACAATCTAACTTCTAACTTCTAAGATTGTCAGTAATGGTTCGCCAGAAAAGACTGGTCTTCTGGCTGGTATTTCATTTGCCCCCGTGGTGATCTCCCAACTAAGATAGTATATCATGAAACTGAAGGGTATTTTCCCATTGTTCAGAACGCTTACCCTTGGGGTCCCACTGGGAACTCACACTGTAGCCTCTGGCTCACAGTGAGGTCCTGACTATATTAGGCTAGAGCAAAAGCATTTATCCAGACAACTGCTTGTGGGCCCCTCTCTGGTTCTCAATACACAGTCTCAAGCAACCACAACAGAAGGCAGCAGATAGGTACACTGTCATATGTTGCAGACAGATTAGTTTGCAGATTTTTCTTTTACCTTTGTAACTTTTTTAATAGAAAGATTTAATTCAATGGAGATAAAGTTGTCAAAAATCTTTTATAATTTCTATTTTTGGAAATATCACCCAAAAGTATATAATCAACTTTTACATTTTTCATAATTTCTTTGCTATATGTATTTTGTTAATATTTAAATCTTACATTCATCTTTCATTAATTTTGGTATGTGATATAGTATGTATGCATGGGCTTGCTCATGATTTCTATTGTAGAACATATTACTAATAAATCCAAATCAAATATGTAACATTTCTGCCTAAATATCCAGTGCTTCTTGGAAAAGAAAGTCTGCTTTTAATTAGATACTTCAATGGAAGATGGGGATAAATGAAAACCATAGAAAACCCTGTACACACAAGGTTGACAGTCAGCCAGTGTATACTTATGTGGTTCATCAATGATTTCTAGCTGGTACCCAGTCTGATGGGTTGATGCTCATATTGTCAAGGTTTGAAAACATTGCCCTTTCAAGTAGGCATCTGTTAAATAATACAAAGCAGAATTATCTTTACCTGATTCCTCAGTTTCTTTTGTTTCTGTCGTCTCTTCTATTTCATCATCGGACATTTCCATTTCTTCTTCTCTCCTGATTCCCATTAATTCATCATTATGAATGTTGCGGATTTCCTAAGGTTAAAAGGTATGCTTTTTAGGTAGGAAAGCCTTGAAAGTGTTAAAAAACTGAAGAGTTAAAGATAAGATAAAGTAGCTTTTGGGGAACATATTAAAAACTCTCAGAGAAATCTTAAGGCAGAGGCAAAAGGGCATGTTGGGACTAATCAGTCTCATTATAGAAAGCATACTTGGGTGAACTTTTCCTTGTACTGAGTTTTCTTTCTAGAATTAGGGCCATAGCCATCTATGATTTGTATATTGATCCAGTATTAGAATGTACTTTTGGACATGAAAGATTCATCACTTCTTACTCATGAGGAATTCTGGACTTTGCTTTAAAGGTTTTGCCATTTTCAATTTCCTCATGTTGGACTCTTTAATTTTGCTGGTTGCCATCTTTTTTTTTTTTTTTGAGGTAGTTTAGGTGTATAGTACAAGCTGGCCTTGAGCTCACTATGTAACCCAGGCTACCTTGAACTTGTGGTGATTCTCCTGCCTCAGCCTCCTAAATGCTAGAATTATAGTCATGCACAGCTGCTTGCTTCCCCCCTCCCTTTTTACAGTTTTTCTCAAAAGAACTCTGAATGGATTTTGGGAAGTTTAGAAGTTACAGCATAAATGAGCTATCAGCAGTAAACTTCTAAGAGACTACTCCTTTCATGGATAATAACTGAAACAAAACCAAACCCATAACTATCTCCTATTGATATCATTGGAGAGTGAACCAAAGTTGGCATATTCTGAACAGGAGCTGACTCTAGGAGCAAAGGCCCTTTAGTTTGAGCAGGACTGAGTTAGCTACTCACAGAGCGGCTAAATTTCTAATAGAAAACTCAGTCTTTTTTTTTTTTTTTTTTTTTTTTTTTGGTTTTTCTCCGGTACCGGGAACCGAACTCATGACCTTGCGCATGCCAGGCAGGCGCTTTTGCCACTGAGCTAAATCCCCAGCCCCAGAAAACTCAGTCTTTATGGGCTAATAATTTGAGAGAAGAGAGTTTTGGCGGGGGAGAGAGAGAGAGAGACAGACAGAGAGAGAGAGAAAGAGAGAGAGGGAAATTAAAATTCTGTGTATAAGATCTGTTCAAATTTCTGCATGGTTCCTCAGCCATGAGAGGGCAGAAGATCCTAAATAACACAGCTAAGGCACAACAAAGAGCTGAACTGATATTTGAGCTGCCATCCAAGAGACGGAATTTCCGACTTGAATCCAGCCAAGTAAATTGACCATTAAAACAAAAGAAAACAAAGTCAACAGTTTTTGGAGGAATACAACAGAATCCGGAAGCTTTACAACATAATATATTATCCAGGATAATGCCCCAAATTATGTGACATATGGGAGAACTAGGATGAGATGGCCCATTTCCAAGAGAGAAAGGATAAAGAGAGACTAACCTTGAAATGAACCAGATGTGGTAATTAGCAGAAAAAATAATTAAAACACCTATTATGACTATGCTTCTGATGTAAAGGAGCTATGCATATAATGAATAAAAAGACAGGAAATCTCAGCAGAGGGTCAGAAACTTTAGAAACAAACCAATGTTTCTTTTGTCTGAAAATTAAAAAGACTCAATGTTATTCTGTCTAAAAATAAACAACAAAAGAATCTTTTTAAAAGTTTCTCTTCCTCTACTGAGATTTATAATTTTTTCATTTATTATGAACATATTTCTTTTAGGTCACTGAGCACAGACATAATAGCTGACTGAACTCCTTATCTGCTATTGAGGCTATATAGGTAATTCTAAACTGAAAAACATGATATCCAAAATAAAAATAATTGGGTGAGACTAAAGGTAGAACAGAGATGACAGAAAAAAAGAGAATATAAAGGGAGGACAATAGAAATATATCCAATTTCAAAAATAACAGCTTTAGAGAGTTGTGGGATTGTGTCCAAAGGTCTAGTCTACGTATAAATGAAATTCCAGAAAAAAGACTACAGAGAATGATTTTTAAAAATTTGAAGAAATAAAGGTTGACAATGTCACAAATATGATGAAAGACATTAATCTACATATTCAAAAAGCTCAGCATGCTCCAGCCGGGTATATGTGGAGAAAAAGCATGTCGGAGAACATCATAGTCAAAGTGAAGAAAACTGAATAAAAAGAAATTCCTGTAAGCAGTTAGAGGAAATATCAGATTATGTAATGGAAAACAACAATTTGAATACTTTGATTTCTTTGAGAAATGATAAAGTGCAGAAGTCAGTGGAACAATATCTTTAAAGTTCAAGGATAAATGAAAATATCTATTTATTTATTTATGTTTTTTTTTTTTTCTGGTACCGGGAATTGAACTCACGACCTTGCACTTGCCAGGCGGGTGTTGTGCTGCTGAGCTAAATCCCCAGCCCCGAAAATATCTATTTATTAAGAATTTGACATTCAGAAAAAACTCTTTCAGGAACGAAAATATATTTTCAGGCAAAGGTAAATGCAAGAACTAATCACCAAGAGAATGTATGATAGGAAATGCTGCTGAAAATTTTTCAGGCTGAAGGGAAGTGATACCAGACATAAACAGAGATCTTCATAAAGGCATGAAGCACATGGGAAATGACTGAGATCATACTACAAAAGGCACTTTAAAAAGCATGAGAACTGTGCATTTTGGAGCACCCTGCATTCATTTAAAGGCCAGCTGAAGCCCATCGAAGGTTCCTTACCACTGAGCTAACAGTTTCTTGACTATATTAAGCCCCTACTAGGCAGTCATACAGGAAATATCCAAAGCTGACTGGTGAAAATTGCTCCCATTTATGGAGATTATACATATTTCAAATGGATTTCTTAATGCTGTAGTTTCTCCACTATCTCTAATTTCCTTCTCTTTTATGCCTTTTATAAGGAAAAATAATGGTTTCTATTTCAAGTTAAGTTTTCATTAAAACTAAATAAAAGATCCTTTTAAAAGTGAGCTATTTAGTATCATCACTGATAGTTAAGAAGTAATAGAAAAATCAGATGCTAACATAGCATCTCCCATGTACTGCAGGGGCATTAGTTAGAAAAAAAATAATGACCTGCTTGAGAAAAATGAACTTTAAAGGCCTGTGTCATAAGAGGGATTTACTATGTCTTATTCAAACTCATTGCATAGAGAACAATAATGGAATTTTTCATTTCTGTGAATTCATTCTCTCTCAGGAGACTGGGTTTCAGTTATCATTACAGCTGTTACTGGAAAGGTGATTATAACAAGGTTTGACATTAGTAAATTCAAATATCATACAACTTACTTTATCAGGATAAGTCATGGCTTTCTTGATGCCTAACAAAAACGCAGATTGTCAGAAGGTGTAAGAAGAGATCAACTCTTAATTCACACACATGTCATCCAATCCTGGGAAAGTCACTGTGTTTTCCAGAAGAGTGAATAATGCTCCTTTTAGGGAAATATCCCAGGGCAGGAAGATCCAGGGGCTAAGACACGTCCTGTAGCTGCCTCGCATCCCCAAAGCATCTTTGTCCTTCCAGTGGGATAAGAAAGCATAATCTCTTCTTTGAAATATTAAAAGCCTCAATAATTAAATGATATGGCTTATTTAGAGTTCTTTCATGACTTCAAAAGTCCTTAGAAATATAACAGATTTAGGGGCAAATTTTACCTAAATCTCTCCAAATACTTCAGGAAAATAATTACCCATTGCTTTAGCTAATAATGAAATGAGGGTAGTAAGGAAAACTAAGGGAAAGGTTGGTGTGTTAGCTGTTCCATAAGGTGAAGTGGCAGAGTTCAGAGTCCTCTACCCACTATACAATCCTCATTATTCTCCTATACATATCCAACACTAAGGTCACACAAATGGGATAAAAGTAAAGAGTACAGCAGGTTATGAAGTAACACATTGAAGTTAATTTATAGGGAAATGACAGCACCGCCAAAAAAACTAAGATTGTAACCCTTTGAAAACCATTAAAGCACTTTATAGCTGAGATACCTATTCTCTGCCTTCTCTGGTTAGATCAGAATAGCTCTACTTTGGGAAGCAAATCCTAACACCCACCTTCACAGCGAAAGGCTATAAGGTAGCATTTACCTGAAAAAGGCACTCTACTTAGCTTGGACATAAACAGGGGAAGGATTCTGAGTCACTGAAGACAGCAGTGGAAATAGCTGTCTCCCAGATTTGTCTCATTCCCCAACCCCACATTTGGATCTAATACCAATACCAAGAGTGATACGCACAAACAATTTTCATTTGTAAATATCTACTTGAAATTGAATCATGTCCGTGATAGAGTACATCAAAAAAGGTAGGACAGCCTTTCATTTCAGCAGTGAACCATTAGTGATTTCTGAAATGGTATTGTAATGAATTTGAGTTTGTTCTAATGGCAAATTTTGCTGTAGTTTACAGATTTGCATTGCTCCACAATAGAGAAAAAAAAAAACACTTTTAAAAAATACAATGAAACTGCAACCCAAGAAAGAAAAGAATGCATGAAAAGAACCACTTTTGTTCCAGCTGACATTTTTGATTTATTATAAAGTAAGCAAATCATAAATCATTACACATTAATTATCTAATTATAGTTTCACAAAAATCTATGTAGACTTAAATTCATTTTATTCATGTTTTATGCTCATACCATGATTACCAGAAAAATCAATGTTCCTTATTAAATGTATAACAAGATTCCACTTACCTAGACTTTCAACATTAACAGGAAACATGGTAAGGAAGGGGTCATGAGGAATGGGAAGATACAGAGGATAGGGAGATAGCTTCTATACTTATGGAGCAATTCGATTCTGAAATGCCATGTAAGACAATGAAGCAAACCACAAATACAGGATTTTGTATGGTATGAAACATGATGGAAATACTTATTAGGTTGATTTAAATTGGGTTAGTATATTTGTTGGTGGCTGAGAGCAAAAGGCCAGTGTTAGTACAAATGGGTCCTAAAACAAAGCATATGGATGGCTTGAATATCTATTTGCAAACAGTTCTTCAGAGTTTGGAATAGTAGGCCTGTAAATCTAGAAAGTTATATTATCACTCACAATATTTCATTTCACAAGAAAAAAAAGCAATTATCAAGTCCTATTTTCTCTGGCCCAGTGGCTTAAAAACTCAAATTATGGAGGACACACAGAGTTACCTCCTTAGTATATGCTGGTATGGCTCTAGTTTTCATATATCACCCAAGTTTTTGCTTCTATTCTTGGCCAGCTTGAGAGGAATATGTAGGTTTTAAATAATTCTGTAGAAAAAGAGCTCCCACACCACACAGAACTGTCAATAAAGTTACTGTAGACACTTTCAGTAAGGGGAAGGATTTTTGCATTCTCTTACTACTCTTTTCAATTGTATTAGTAGGAGCCTCACACACATATAAATCAGGAAAGTAAAATGATGAGAAAGTCTTATTAGCAAACTAGTTTGCCTTGCATATGCTATCAGAGGTAGTGCCTGAGCTCCCTGAAGGTGGGAACTTTTTCTTTCTTATGCCACACCCTCTCAGTAAGACAGTATTGGCTGCTGGCAGAAGGATGGCAATGAGAAGATCAGGAACTTTATGACATGAGGGGGTCACCAGCTGACTTGGTCCCAGGGGCAATGGATGACAAGGTTAAGTGTCGGAAACTTCAACGCTGGTGAAAGGCCTGGCTTATGATGCCATGTTTTAATGCTAAGTTCAAGAAATAGGCAGTTTATTTGATTAAATCTTTGAGATTCTCAGTGGGGTGCCACAAGGCAGCCATAATTTAAGAGGACAGTTTCTCCATGTCCCATAAGACGCCTCTTTTCATTCCACACAGTAGTTTGCTCTCAACTGAAAACTTTTAGAGGTAAAAAAAAAACCAAAAGTAATGATGAATAGAAGCAAACCCCGACTTAACAGGTATCAATATAAAATGGAAGAGATAATTTAGGTTTAGGTCATGAGACATGTCCCTCTATTGGCAGTTGCTTTACATACCAAGATTGAAGTAGTCACAGTGGACCTTAATTTAGTCTAATCAAATAGGCAGGAAACATTTTGGGGGGTTCCTATAAAGTCTACAAGGCAAAACATGAAACATGTGGCTTTTGGCAAGTCATGCTGGTTGTGTATTGTATCCTCATCGCTCTGCCAAGGAAGCTCTGTGACAATACTGGGTAGGAGGGTAACAGCTGTCAAGTTCTTTACAGACCCAGAGAAATGTCTATCTCACCGTCCTGCTTTACTGTGTATGTCATTAAACTTAAGTACAGACCCACAAGATAAGGAAGCCTGATATAACCAATAGAGCCCTAATGAATAATATTGATAGAGTGGATTGTATTGCACTGTAATTTACAAAAGGGTCGTGGTGGATGTCAGGGCTCCAACAAGAGGCTCCATTTCCCCTATGAAAAGGCAACATTGCTCTTGCAGGGCTTTCCTTAAAGGGTAGGGCAGTTCAGACAGCTCCTTCTAACCCCTGGGAGGGATATGAGTGTATGTGTATTGAAGTAAAAGAGGCAACTGCATATACATTGAGCATCTGTAGTCCTCAGATCTGAAATCCAAAATGATCCAAAATCTGAAATTTTCTGAGGGTTGACATGATGCCACAAGTAGAAAATTCCATAGCTGACCTCATGTAATGGGCTACAGTGAAAATGCAGATGCACTAACAAATTTTATAAAATTACTTCAGCCTTTGTATATAAGTATATGTAAAACATAAATGAGTTTTGTGTTCAGTCTTTGGTCCCTTACCCGGGATACCTCATTATGTATATGCAAACACTACAAAACCTGAAAGAAAAACTCCAAATCCAAAACACTCTTGGATCTCCGCACTTTGAGTAAGCAACTCTCAACCTACATTACCTCCTTACAGTTTTAAAGATTCTCAGTGTTTATTCTTCTGAACTGAAGAATTTAGATACTTGAAATTTGGTGTTTGGTGCTCTACTGTTCCTCTTGATCACTTTTCTTACCCTTCTGGCTCCCTGAGGGCAGAGACTATTTTGTTCTATGCTGCCTGTCATAATGCCTGGGATAGAGAAAGTGCTCAATAAACCTTTGAATTGTAATGTTAAATTTTGTTTGTTGAGGTAGTGCTAGAATTTTAAAATCATTTTGTGTTACACTAAGACAAGAGTTTCCTTATGTGTTCCTAATTTTCAAAAACAAAACAAAACATGCTATTGCCTTTCTACTCACTCACTGGACAGATGTCTTCAGGGATATTTCTCCAGTGGCTTCCAGAGCCCTTTGTTATACCAGACCCGGTGTCTCAGAGATTACATTTGTGAATAGGGTTTGGCTTATCTTCCCCTAATTATTCTTCATGGATCTCAAGTTGTTCCTACATAAACTGTCTCATGTGTTCTTAAGAAGAACACAGTGAAGACATTATTTTCTGTATTTTAAAGGTTAGAAAATAGATGCTTAAACAAAAGTTAGACAACTGACTCAGAACACAAAGCACTCTGCACCAGAGCTTAGAAGGAGGAGAATAATTTCTAGGCTATTTGCTAGTTGTGTAATTTTGTGTGAATCACAATGTTTCTGCATTTTAGTTTCCTTACATGTAAAATATAGGTTCTATACCTAGTCATTATCTTTTATTGAATTGTTAATAATAAATTGAAATAATACTGTTTATACTTTTCAAGCTCCTTACACATTTCTTAACTCATTTAATCTTGCAAGGGTGATTATATTACTATCTAAAATTTACAGTTGAAGAAATAGGGACTGAAAAAGGCTGAATAACTTGTTCAATACACACAGCTACAAAAGTTATTGGAGCTGAGGTTTGAAATCAAGTTTGACTCTAAGTCCAATACTTACTTTACTCTACAATGTCTGTTGCGAGATTCTGAGGTACATTCAGGTAGATAACCAGTGTGAAAGTGCCTTACAAATGTCAATGGGCTACAGGAGTAGCTCACTGCTAGAGCACTTGCCTAACACAAACGACCATCCCCTTTGGTGGTACTGAGGATTGAAACCAGGGCCTTCACACTGAGCAATATCTTCAGCCCTCAATTTTTTTTTGAGACAAGGTCTTTCTAAATTGCCCAGAGTAGGCTCAAACTTGTGATCTTCCTGCCTCAGCCTCTCAGAGTGCTGGAATTAAAGGCCTGTGTCTCTGTACCCAGTTAAGACCCTCTGTTCGATCCCTCATATCACAAAAGTCTTACAAATTCTAATAAAATGTTAATAAATATGACAACCTGCATTGATAGATATGATGAGATTATTACCAGACAGGCAAAGAGGATTCAGAAATGAAAATGCAAAAGTTGCTTCACATGTAGATCAAAAGTATCAGGGCTGGGTATGGAAGCTGCCTATAGGAATAGAAGAATTAGAGGTATATGTGATATCATTTAGATAGGTGAAAACTAACCTCCTTGTCTTGGTTTTTAATGTTGAAGTCATAATAGTAATCTAACCACATCATACATATTCTAGTGTTATGCTAGAATTTTTACTTGAACACAGGCAAAGAGTATGTGTCAACCTTAATCTGAGATCAAAGTCCTCTGTTACTTTTAACTCTACCTCCTATAAGGATGTCTAAACAGGTTTGATAAAAGCATCTCAGAAATTTCTTTGCTCTGATATACCAGCAGGCAGCTTCTAGCATCAGCTGTCAGGATGCTCTAATAAATATAAGGCAGCCCTAATATTACTAACACTAGAAGCACAGGTCAGTAATTACTGTTGCACTTCAGACTAGCTAGCTTAGAGAAGTAAACTTATAATTATCTCAGCTACATTTTCTCTACTAAGGTTTCTACCCAGAAGAATGCATTCAAGACAACACGTGCACATTTACTGCCTTTTGGACAGCAGGTGGTCTGAACACAGTGACAGGCTATAGAACACGTCTTAGTGTTTCATTAGGGCCTTGTTGTGACCATGGGATCTTGGCTCTATTTAACTCTGGCTAAACTCCAAATCAATAACTTGTTAAAGAAAGACACTGTCCCCCTGAGGACCTAACAGAGTAAAAAGTTACCAACCTCAGCTTGTTTGCACCAAACGCTGATGTTTTTACGCTGGGCTTTTGTGAAGTGGTCCCATGCCTTCTGTTTGGAGGCGGAATGGTACACTGCTACTATCTGCTCAACTGTAGCATCGTATCAGCAGTCAGATCAAGCCAGATTATCACCCAGGGATGGCAAAAGAGGAGAGAAGAGAAATAAGAGAGAAGCATGAGCTTGTGGTACCTTTTTAACAGTATCCTTGGTGGGGGTTGTACTTGGAAAAGGGTAGGTGTTGTAGTACTGTGATTTTAAGGGGGACTCAAAGGAAGAAATATCAATATACAAAAAGAAGAAAGAAATGGGGAAGTTTTCGGGTGAAATAGTAATTCAAGTTTTAAACCAGTCACTATGTATTCATTCAGGTAGGTGAGGTAGAAGTTGTAGTAAATGTGTTTAGTTTTGTACTATTGACCTTGTGTAGCATGGAAGCAAATTGTATCAGCAACTTCTATCACTAGCTCTTTTTATTAACCAGCCCTGTGAAATAAGCTGGGATGCTTTGCTTCAGAAGAATTTGTCCTCTTGCTATTCTTAGGTATGTTTAATCAGAAACGTCAAACCAAAACCTAATATGGGTAGGGTGTAAGTCTACCTAGATAAGCTTATTGACTGGAGAACTATAAGTTTTATGGAAGAATACTGCTGCAAGTACAATCTCAGAGAGCATTTTTCAGGGTCTCTTAGAATGTTAATAGGGAAATGTATACAGATTTATGGGGCTTTTTCCTAACCAGGTCAAGAGAGGAGAAGCTTAGGTATGACTCTTTTGAGAAAAGCAGGAAGAGTCCCTTCCTGGTTGGATGTTCACAGTTCGAAAATGCAAAAGGTTTTATTGTTTTCTTTACAGCTCTGTTTGTATCCTGTGTTCTAATGATTCTAGGATTTATGCTCTCATGATGCATGCTGCTTTTTTTTTCTACATATTCTGAAGTCCTGAGGCCATGTGCTTTCACCTCCTGGATTGTATGCCCATAAATACTTCCAGAATACAAGGGCAAAATGGAACAACTCCTTCTTAATACCAATTATGTAGGAGTCAAGCATGGACAGTAAAATATAGGAAAAGTGGACCATAATTGTTTAAAAGCAAAATCATAAAACCATGTCCTTATTCTTAAGGTGAATATAGTTCCTTACTGAAAAGATATGTGGACATAATTATGTAATATGGTGAACAAAAAATTTACTGGAGAACTTATCTGATCTATCTCCTTTAAGAGAACTTTGATATGTTTAAAGTCATATTTGTTTTAGAAAATGGCTATTTCAATGGCTTCTCACCCTGTCATGGTGCTCATAAACAGCAAAGGTAGTGGAAGAAAAGAAAGTAAATATAAAGGGTAAAAGTAGCAAATTTTTTATTCCATCATCTTGGGAAATATAATTACATTTATCATTAAAAGTTCTTAGAGTGCATATTACATGATTGTGATGATGCAAAAAAAGCAGCTTTAAAATGCTGATGTTATATCTTAACTTCAGCAATAATTACCCAACCTTCCACTGAGGCATATGGCTGTGAAGATATACGATGTGGCCTAAGTATCAGTGTTTCTAAGGGGCTGATATACCAGGGAAAATGAAAACAGGAGGTGTTCACATATATTCTGTAAAACTGGAGCACTGGGATGTGACAGTCTAAGGAGAGGACAGGGCAGTAAGGAAGGCAGCCTCGTCCTTGACATCATCTGGCTCTGGAGGCCTGGGCTCCTGTACAGAACAAGTGGTGACTGAGTGAAAGGGCCTTGCACCCTTCCAGTGGGACTCTAACTTCTACTCACACTGGATGAGAATTCCAGACAGGGCTTGCTTGAACTTCTCCTTTGCTTCTTCCATGTCTTTTTCATGGGCAGCTTTCTCATTCACCAGGCGGCGGACATGGCTGTTGGCTGACTGGATCATGGAGTAGAAGTTGTTGGCACTACGACGATTCACCTCTCCTCGTTCTATCCAGGTGAGCAGGGTCTGCACTGCTTCTGAGAATTTGGAATCATCTGAAGATGAGACGGTTTCTTGTTAGAACCATCAAAAGTAACTGCATCTGTATTTTCCAATATGCTGGCAAGGTGATAGCTATCGCTTTCTGCAAGTTGTGGTTCAACTAACTGCAGTGGATAAGGAGCCATGCACAAGCACACATTGGCAGGCAGCAGGCAGGCAGAAAAACAGAAAGAATGAAAGGCTCAAACATAGTCAGATTAGAAGATTAGATTAGATTAGATTAGTCAGATTAGATATGAAGAGTTTCAGAAAGAGAACTGTTTCTTCTTTTTTTAAATTTATTTTTCTGAGCTTGGGACGTGGCTCAGTAACAGAATGAACATTTAGCAAGCATGAGGCCCTGGGTTCAATCTCTAGCACTACAGTAACATTATCTGCACTGATATTATACTTTTTAACGTATTGCACATTACTTAACCTATGTGGATACATACGTGTGTGTGCAAGTCTCTGTGTGTACGAGAGAGAGAGACAGAGAGAGAGACAGAGAGACAGAGAATGCGTTATAAATTAGCAGTGAGAGAATGTCAGAATTTTACAATCCTGTGTTTTAATAAGGAAAAACAGACTCAAGTTCTGAGTTTAACTTGAATTTGACAGTAACTTTTCCCTAGATCCACAGAATTATATGTTGGAAGAAGCCTTAGGAGAGTTAAGTGGGTAATTCTTTAGATATAAACACTTACATCTTTGACCTTTTATAACATCATTCTTGTATCCAATCCACAGCCCCAGGTCTTCCACTCGGGGACAGTCATAATGTATTTTGAAGCAGTTCATATTATTTCTATAGCTCCCACATCTTTTTCCTCCTGCCTGAGGAACCCTCCAAGTAGGCATCCAGGAGTTATCCTCTCATATTAAGATGGCAGCACAGCTTTTCCAAAGCTTTTGGTCCAGCTTCCCGAGACAGCCATTTATACATTCCTGCTGTTACCAGACTTCTGAGAGGCGGCATCCAATTGGAGCCCCATTCTAAGGCTTCCCATGCCACTCTGGCCAGAAAGCCTCATGTCAAGTGGCAGTATCTCTCACTGCAATTTGAATTTCTTGTCTCTTGCCCTTTTGTCTCAATGCAGATTTATAACAGGAACTAAGCCTTTTCCCTAGAGCAGCTTCTAATTTCATTACTTGTATAAAATCCTTATGTTGATGTTCAGGTTTTCCTTTTCTTGAGGGCCATACAACAAGCAAATTCTTTTTTGTTTTGTTTTGTTGTTTTTGACTTAAATGGATTTGCTTGGTGTCATGTGACTAGGCAAGTCTCAGGCCTGGTGCCTTACCCATTGTTTTCAGCCTTTCAAATACTGCATGTCAGTATATTTGTATATCTATTTTGGAGTATATTTTCTAGTTTTTTCCTTGTAAGAAGTCAGTGATCAGTCAAAAGGGAATTCTTTGATTTCTTAAATGTGTGACTCCCTTAGGTTATGTGATGTAAACAAAGTTGGTGAGGGAGACCTATTTAACAAGTAGAATTAGCAAGATCTTGCTCAGCTGAGAGCACAAGAAGCAAGGCAAATTCATACCATTACAGCTGGGCTGGTGTCATCAAGAAGATCAGTGGGACACTAGCACTCATTTGATAAAATCAACTATTCTCAGAAAATGAGAGACTAGGGTTGAGCTACTAAGACATCAGACAGGGTGATTAATGTTAAATTAGCAAAATGATTTGGAGAACTAAGCAAGAGCAAACAGGAATCAAAAGTACAAGAAAAGCAGCCTGACCCTGTAATGCCTGGAAGTCTCCATAGTTGCTGTGTGAAATAAATTGGCCTTTTAAAATTGATTAAAAATGTCCTGTAGCTGGTGCGGTGGTAAACACTTGTAAAACCAGCTACTGAGGAGGTTGAGGCAGGAGGACCCCTAAGCTTGAGTCTAGCTTGGGTAACTTAGCAACTTAGTGAGAAATTTCCTCAAAAAATAAAGATGGGTGGATATACCTTAGGGGTACAGCACTTGCCTACCATGCAGAAGGCCCTGGGTTCAATCCCAGTACTGTAAAAGAAAAGAAGTATTCTTTTAATTGGTGGTGGCTAAGATTTGGAGTAATCTAAGAATGTGCACTCTGACTGCTTTCTGTGCCTCCATTTTCTCATCATCAAAATGGGGATTTTACTAGGGTTACATGAAGGTGTATCATTCTGATTAACTCATCTGATTTAGAATTCAAACCTAACTTGTATCCACTATGAAGAAGGGACATGTACAAGGTGTGACCAAAATATATAGTGTATATATAAATAAAAACAATTACAGTAAAAGTCACATTACCATTAATTCCACTCAAAATATTTTCCCCCACACTTCCAAAATACTTTCCCCAATATGCCTGCCACTTTCTGAAGCACTTCTGGGAGTCCTCTGTCTTTATGAGGTGTGATCAAAAATACTGCGAATAGTGCTGCCAAGTGTCAACCAATGGAAAGACAGGCGGATCAAAACATTATGGTGCATTCTCATCCACCTTATCCACTAGATCTGATATCATGTGACTTCTGGCTCTTTCCCAAAAGTCGAAGTGACCATGAAAGGTAAATGTTCTGAATCAGTTCAGGACATTGAGGCAGACATGACAGTGCAATTAAAGACATTCATGAAGGAGGACTTCCAGAACTGCTTCAGAAAGTGGCAAGAATGATGAGTATGTTTGAAGGAAAGGGGAGAATTTTGAAGGGCATTAATAGCAATGTATCTTTTGCTGTAATAAATATAAAAATTAAACATTCACCATAGGTTTTTTTTAAATTACACCTCATACCAGTTCCAAGTCATGAATCACACCTAAAATTCTCTGATGTAGACAGTAGGAAAAAACCCATTTCTTCTTAGTTAACTGATGTCTGAGAGAAAAATACTATCCTTTGAGACAACAAAGGAGTAGAGACACACGCAGCAAGAATAAATCTCCTGGTTCTTATTAGGTATGTACCTCTCTCAATTACCAAGGTTACAACACAAATGCTTCGAATCTGTAAGTGGGAAATCCAAAGCGTTATTACCAACAACACCATTTGTCACATTCCCTAAAGGAAAGGATTATTTTAATCAGGAAGCTCAAATGCCTTCTATACCTTTTAGTTTTTCAGCAACAATGCTGCATTCATGATCTGAGTAGTGGACCACTGGGGGTGGGGATGGTGGACGCAGTCTTTCTTCTTCCATCCGTCTCCGGTGGCGCTCCTCTCTTGCTAGCATACGCTGCTTACACTCCCACTCGTACAGGTCATCCCGTGCCTGTGCAAAGTCAACGTGGAGCCGACCTGTGTCCTTCTTGTCAGTACTAGAGCCCAGGCGAATTCGGTAACCTAAGTTTGGGGGTAGGATAACAGCAGCCTAGTAAGTAAGCAATTAAAAGTACTTTTCCAAGTTCAGTGTTTCAGATGTGGTTGCAGCAATTAAGTGACCCCATCACCCCAAATTCTCTCTCCATATTAGCAAGTTGAATCACCAAAAGACTTAAATGATAATCTTATTGCTAAGAACAGCTTACTATTTTATTGGCTGGGCTGGTCTTGATATTAGGAGTTACATTCCTCTATCTGCCATCTTACCTCTGGATGAGGGAAACAGAACCAGTAATAAACCCTATATGGGAATGAAGGTTGGGCATGAAAGAAGAGAAATGGTGGCCTCAAGCTATGGTGCTTTTGAATAACTTCAAGAGTGTCAATCATGCCATCACAAAGAATTTTGGTAAAACTTAAAATATTAACTTGGCATTTTGGTGTCTAAAATTGTTTCGTAGATGCACTTAGAAATTCTGGACAATATCTTTTCTGAGAGAAATATTAGATATGAGGAGTGGCATATAACCCAGATGGCACATACTTTGGGATACTTAAAGTTTGTGTGACTGTAATAGTGGTATGAGAGTGGGATTCAGAAAACTAAGATTTTACTCCCTACCTCCCCCTTTTATGCTTGCTATCCTTCTTCCTAAATTTAAAAAAAAACTGAAAAAACCAGTTAAGTACTTTTTAAGTTTTAGTAGTTGAATGAGATACTTCCATACACATTTATCACATTTCATTCTCAGCACAAGCTTTGAGGATAAACATTTTACTAAAGAGATAAACTGAGCATCAGAGGTTAGCGAGGTCAAGTATCTTCCCCTGGGTCTAACAACTGGCAAATAGCAGAACTTGAGTTTTTCTTTTAATTTATTTTAAGAATAAAAGAAGCAAAACATTAGCAAACAGACATCCATTTACAAAACAGCATAAGAACAATACATGCAATACAGAGTTACAGACAAAGTGGTAGGAAATTAACAATAGTTGTTGTATTACATATTGGTATCTTCAAAGTGGTTTCTTAGGAAAACAAATATAGACATGCAAGATTGATGAAATAATTATCATTAACTGTTCCTTTAAGTGAAGCCATAGAAGTCAGTAGTACAACTATGTTAGCTATCCTGCATATACATATATACATAATTTCCCCTTCTTTCTTTTCTCTGTTCCCTCATCCCAGTTTCTCTTTACCTCTGAGCATTTTCCTTTCGTTTCACAATGTCTGACATACCTCCTAAGTTTTATTCACTCTTTCAGGTTCTTACACTAGTGAGACAATATGTTGCTTACACATGGAGGTCTGGTTTATTTCACTTATGAGTATGTTCTCTACAGAACTTGAGTTTTAATCTAGGATATTAGACTCTAAGTCTGTTGTGTGTTCCTCTACTCTAAAGAATAATGCAGAGCATAGATTTTTGCTCCTGGCTGAGATAGAATAACAAAGGTTAGATATATCATCCTCCATTAAAGAATGAAAGATATGAAATATGAATAAAATATATGAAGCAGTAGCTTTAAAATAGTGGATATTAGATAATGAGGCCAGTGATCATGACAAGACAAGAATCAAATGAAGTGATCTCCATGATTGACCCAGCTTATTGCCTGGCGAGGTTTTCCAGGCCTTTGTAAAGGGAGAGAAACTTTGGCAGAGCGTTCATCCCAAGGTGAGTAAGAAAGAATATGGCAAGTAGAGTTCCTAACAGAGAAATATTCACAGTGAAAGAATTTCAGGGATGTGCAGAGGGCCCAACATGATTATGTCTAATGTCTAAGTTGAGGGGAATAATTAGTGGCTAGGACTAATTGTACATTAGACATTACAAAAGAAAAATAATAAACTTGAAACCATAGCATTGTAAACTATCAAAAATAAAATACAGACCGAACAAAAGGTTTAAAAAATGAAGCACTAGGCAGTGAGAAAAATTTAAGAGGCTTAATATATTCCTAATGGTGCACTGAGAACAGGGGAGAGGGGATGAAACAGAAAAAAGTATTTGAAGAAAGAGAAGGAGAAAAATTTCTAAATTGGATGAAAACTCACAGATTCAGGAAGTTCAGTGAACTTCAGACACAAGAAACATGAAAGAAATTACACCAAGGTACATCATAACTGAATTACTCAACACCACCAGTAAAGAGAATATCTTAAAAGCAGCTATAGATAAAAGACATTCAGTATTATGTACAGAGAAACAAAGGTAAGGACAGACATCATATGTATTGTTAGAAACAATGCAAAGAAAAAGCTAGTGGAACAAGACCTGAGAGAGAGGAGATAGAAAAGCTGTGAACATAGAAATCTATATTCAGAAAAAATATTTTTTTTAAAAAAAAGTGAAATCAATTTTTCTGAAACATACAAATGCTGAAAGAGTTCAACAGGAGGAGATTTACTACAAAAAAATGTATCAGAAAATTCAGGTAAATGGAAAATGATACCAAGTGGAAATCTGGATCTATACAGAGGAAGAGATACATAATGTATGATTCCAAGTAAAAGAAGTTCTAGAAAATGCACAGTAATCTGTTAGAGGACAGATAAGTGGTTGCCTGAGAAGGCAGTAGAGAGGTACAGGACCAAGGGATTACAAAAGAGGCAGGAAGGAACCTTTGGGAGTACCAGGCACAGTCATTATTTTGACTGTTTTGTCATTATTTTTGTTGGTGATGGTTTCACAACAGTATGTAATATATGTAATTGTATGTTTGAACTATATGAAGGTCATTGTATGTGAATTATTATATCTCATATGGCTGTTATAAAAAACAATGCCAAGAAACACTAAAACTAAAATATATTTTTTAGAAATAAGAATAGCTGGGCATGGTGGTGCATGCCTGCAGTCCCAGAACTTGGGAGGCCAAAGCAGGCTTATAAGTTTAAGTCCCACCTGGGCAACTTAGCAAGACCCTGTCTCAAAAAGGACTGGGGATGTAGCCCAGTGTGAAAGATCTGGGTTTAATCCCCAGTACTGGGGAGAAAAAGAAACATATTTCATAAGCAAACTTTCTAGGGTCCTTTGCAGTTTGCAATGTAATTGCACACTCATTCATTGTATTTGATTATCTGAGCCATCAGAAAAATAAGTCTACAAAAGGTTACCTTGGGCCATTCCCTGCACCCCAGATCTCCACGGGACCTGGGATGAACCCCACACATCTTTAGGAACTCTGGTGAGCCACCCCAGTGCCTCCCTGACCAGTTTGTGAGGCAGTGGAGCTTGGGCATGGCTTGGGGCCTTGGTGGCCACTCCCCACACCCTTAGTGAGTCTGAGGATGCCTGGCCGAACCCTGAACATCTTTAGGAACCCCAGTGAGCCACCTCAGAGTCTTGCTGACCAGCATGCAAGGCAGGCAGAGCCCTGGCCACCTTCTGGGGCCTTGGTGGCCACTCCTTGCACCTGCGGATACCCGCGGGAGCTTGCCTGAACCCCAACATCTTCAGGTACCCAGGGGAGCTACCCCTATGCTTCCCCACTAGTGTGTGAGGCAGGTAGAGCCTTGACACCTTCTGGGGTCTTAGTGGTCTCTCCCAGCATGACCCACACAGCTGTGAGAGCCCCACTGAAACCTGGACAGAGTCAGCAGCCTTGATGACTCCACCCTCACCCCTCGCCTTCTGGTGTGGGAACCGGGCTCGGTCCTGGGAAACATCTGAGGCCTTAGTGACCACGACCTGCATTCCCCTCTCACCTTTGTGGAAGCCAGGCTAAACCCCAAAGAGCTTCAGGAACTCCAGTGAGCCTCCCCTGCCCCTCCCACACTGGCCTGGAAGCCAAATGAATGCAAGAAAATTTTGTGAGCACCTGGGACCCCACCTTGCCACCACACACCAGCACAAAAGCCACATTGAGCATTAGGGATCTTCAGATCCTCACCCTGCCATTTGCATACAATTGTGGGAGTGAGGTTGAGCTCCAGGGAAACTCTGGATGTTCAAAAATGACAAAACGAAGGAGGAAAATGCAATCCCAGACCTCTACACCAGCCAGAACAAGTCCAGGAAATATCAACGCAGAAGAGCCAAGAAGTCATACACCTGAAATTTCTGAAATGATAACAACTGAAGTAAAGAAACAACTCCATCAGGCCATAGAAGATATCAGATCAAAAATAATGTCTCAGGTGAGAAAAGAAATGACAGCAATAATGAAAGAAATGTTCAGCATATCCAAAGGTGACATGGACAAGAAAATAGAAGAGCAGAGACAACTCAATGAAACTTTCAGGAAACAATATAGAAAAGAACTAGAAGATATGAAACAGATACAAACAGATATCCAGGAACTTAAAAATCCCATTGAAAGCTTGCAAAACTGCCTGAACGAAGCTGAAGATAGACTTTCAGACCTTGAAGACAGCATTACCACCAATGAATGTGAAAGGAGGGATCTCTTAAAAACAACAAGGAACCAGGAAATAGCAATTCAACAACTGCAAAACAAAGCAAAGAGAAACAATGTCAGATTAATAGGTATTAATGAAACAGCAGGTGTCAACCCAAGTGACATAAAAAGACTATTTGCAGAAATAATAGCAGAAAATTTCCCAGGCATGGTAAGAGAAATGGACATCCAGGTAAGTGAAGCATATAGAACTCCAGCTAATCATAACCAAAATAAATCTACACCCAGAAATATTGATCAAGATCCTGGAAACTCACCAGAAGCAGAGAATATTAAAAGCTGTTAGAGAAAAGAAACAGATCACCTATAAAGGAAAGCCTATCAGAATCACAGCAGACTTCTCAACACAAACCATCAAGGCAAGAAGAGCATGGACTGAAGTATTTCAGGTACTGAAAGAAAACAACTTTAAACCCAGTCTGAGGTACCCTGCAAAGCAATCTTTCAAATTTAATGGAGAAATAAAGTATTTCCATGATAAAGAACAACTGAAGAAATTCATGAATGCAAAACCAATCCTCCAAAGAGTCCTAAAAGATATCCTAGAAATAGATAAAACAGACTGCAGCTTCAAGAACAACAACAGAAAGGAA